GGCTTCAGACTGCTTACGTGTAGAAATGCGGAACCATTTCTACGCACAACGCACTCGTACAAGCAGCCCGCCATGCTCTCCTTTCCCGTACGGCGCTCGGGCGGTCACATTACAGTGCGCAGACGCGGCGAGCCCCGCCGGCTTCACGACGGCTTCCGCGGCGAAGCAACTGCGTTGCTGTATTTTTGGTTGTGTTTTATAGACCTTTTCCACAAGGCCGCCGCCATCTTGAATCGACGTCACTTCCAGTATGGGCGAAAACACAACTTTGCCGTCGCCACGCCAATAGAAGACGTTTAGGATAAAAGCCTAACCGTCACACATTCTCGATTTGGCTCGCCTCAATTTTTTTACTGGTTAGAGGTTGAAACGTTTTACTATTTTGTCGTCGCCCATACTGGAAGTGACGACAATTCAAGATGGCGGCGCCCTTGTGGAAAAGGTCTATAGGCTCCTTGCATTGACGTCACATGGTATACTTTTGAACACCATGTAAAAGGAGGAGAGGGAAGCTGCTTTTGTAAGAATTTTGAGTGGCAGGTTAATCTTCTGTAATCTTCTCGGAGGAGAACAGCGACGTCTGTGCTTATCCGGGTGGCACAAAGGGGGATCCTGATCAGAGGGGAGCTCCTTCTTCCCCTTTTCTCTGGAGGGCATCGGAAATGACGCCATGTGCAAGCCACGTATAGGGAATGGAATTTAGTTGCCGTTTCACTCTGCCAATGGGAATTAAGGTGCCATTACGATCAGCCGATGAGACTTTAGGTGCCGTTTATCGCTGACTTCACTCCATGAAGCATTTATTGCTTTCGCATTAATAAAGCGGAATAATATTTTGACTAGTATGAAAGTTTCGGGAATCTTCGCACACGTTGCTTTTCCTAAGTCCCAATAGGGCCGCTTCTGGATAGACTGGAGATTTGTCGCTTAACTAACACAGCAGTACGGGGCTTTGAATATTTACTAAGAGAAATTTAGTGAGTAGTTTTCAGAAAAAGGAAGTGCTATAGCCGACACATGACCCAGATTTGAATAAAAGAAATAAAGAATTTTCATAAAATAACGTCTTCCAGTGTTTCTATGTTATTATAAGATAGAGTGCATATCATTAGGTAATTGGGCGCCAAAAACATTTTTGTGGTACGCAGCCATTTTACACGATGTTTTTGTTGGGCATATTGGTTTGAGGCGAATTCCAGAAATTTAAAGCATACTATCAGCCAACATTAAATTGTTTTGTTCGCAAAAAACACTTTTTTCTGAAGTTCTGATTTTTTGAAGTTTCTGAAGTCGAAATGAATTCAAGCATATTCCAGATATGAAAGAAAAAAAAAGTCACGCCTCCTTCGGCATCGAGTGTCCTAAATGTATATTTTGTCTTTTTAAAGAGTTCGTAATCTAGCATGACTGTATGCTTTGTGGAAATGAAATCTTTAAAACAACTCAGGGAAAAAAGAGGGACCCAACATGAGTGGTCAATACGCCTAAAAAAGACATACAAGTTCAAAAGAATTAAAATATCACCTCGACGATAAGAACGCCGTGGAGTTAGATTTTCAACGCCGCCTACCGGAGGCGTGCATGGTGCACAAATTGGACAGAAGTGCGGCGTCAGCGCTTGACTCGGACATGTCTCCAATCAGTCAGCATACAAGCGAGAACCGATGCTTCACGCAGTACTCGTGTTCAGCTTGTGACCAACGCTCGCCTTCGGTGCGCAACGCAGGAAATGCATCACTATAGGGCAGAGTGTTCCCTGAAGGTTGTGGTGGAAAATGCGGCACGATACAGCAGTTCTAGCGAACCACACTGCCGAAGGTAGATCGAGTAGCACAGCAATCCTAACGTCACGATCGCTTGAGATTTTAAAGGGGAAATGAGGTGGAGGGACACGGCTTCCGCCAGCCATAACCACTTTTTCCTCCTGTAGTCGGCAGGAACGATGTAAGTGGCGGACCGAGTTTGTTTTTGCTTCCCTTCAACCATTATAAGAGCAGGATGCGTATTTTTGCCGTTAGCATTATTCTAATACACTTTAATATGCCTTCTTAGCAATAAATATAGATGATGGTGATTTATTGAGATTGCAGATGGAATTTCTTGTAAAAATAAATTAACATTTTTCTTTCAGAGGGCGGTTTGCATTCAGAGTCATGCGAAGGTGGACAGAATATTTTCAAAGCGCTAGACGTTTTTTTTTTCGTTTTTTTTTTTAAATTAGACTGTGGAACATAAAGTCCATCTTGTATTATTCTTTGCTAACTTCTTGCGACATTTCGGATACGCATTCTTTCATGTGCAAAATTTTAAAATTTTGTATTACTTTTTGTATTTTTTAATTGTGTCACTGTTTCCAAAATTTAACATATGTCATATTAAATTAACCCGAAAGAAACACCTGCCGGTTGGTCGAATTAATCAATGCAAACAATGACGATTTGGATAAAGTAACGTCTAAAGTTTTTATTATAAAATCGGTTCCGTTTCTGTTTATGGGTATTCCGCTATTCAAATATCGGCAAACCGTACAGGGTTTCCCAAAAACCGGAACGTAGTTTCAGTTTATAACTTCCTTTCGTTTAATATTTTAAAAGTTTATAAAATAAACTTCGAAAATTTACTTACAACTTTGATCTCTTTCACGTTTTTTTTTACTTAGAAATCAAACTCTTCTCTATTGTTTTACTCGCGGGCAATCTGTAACTAACCAAAAAAAAAAAACACTTTAGCCCGAAAGATATTGGTAAAACATACAGAAAAACAGGAACGTTGCTGTGCTTTTATTTTTTAGCAATGATATTTGAGGGAAAATATATACGTTTCCACTGTTCACAAAAAGCACAGCCCCTACGTGCTCAGCCTCGCTCGCTCGAAATTGCGGACAGCAATAAAGTACGCGTGAAAAACACACAAACACAGCAATGAACGCGCCCTCATCCGCGTTTATAGGAAGGTGTATACACGACTGGAAGCGACGCGACTTACCGCCGCCATGTCTCTCCTGGTGCGGGAAAAACCATGAAATGTAAAGCTTGCAAAAAGCTATGACCAAGTAAACGCTGGACGTGCATGAACGCATGTAGCACAAGTCAGGACGCCATGCTTTCAATTGTCTATAATTCAAGGTAGAAGAATCCTCTGGAATTTACGTCATGAAAAAGTTTCTACACGAGGCGTCAACATCAATGTTGAGAAAGGCATTGTTCTTCTAAGAAAAGCGATTCATTATGCTTGTGAAGCCTACACGCGCACAGTGCAGTGGCGACAAACACTCGCTTGAATTTACGCTTATAAAACAATTAATAACAGCTGCTGTCGCAAAAGCAGCAAAGCCACACAGTGACGTACATAGCCTTCCAGCAACGTGTAATGCAGCTGTGATTGTCTATAGCCAACGTATGTGAGCCTGTGTATGCAGGTTCACGTGTGAGTGAGTGTGGGCATCTGTGGCAGTGCGTGCGTGCGAGTGACCGTGCACATTGTCCGTGTGCGCGCGTGTGTTGTGCGTGTGTGTGAGCGTCGGGGGGAAAGGGACTGTGTGTGTGAACGACCATCTATGTTTGCATGGGTGTGTAAGCATGTATCTACACGTGTATTTCACGTGTAAAGGAACTTGACGGTCTCTGAAAACGAATTCTTTGTATAGAAGTTTTTGCTTTATGTATTAAAGATGTATTTAAATTCAAGATGTAACTAAAAAAACACATCAAAACTATGCACGAAAATGGGAAACGTTAGTAAAACGAACGAAAACAATTGTCACAACGTCTATTGCCGCAATGATTGTTTGCGCATTTTGTGAAGGTAAACAAAATAATTCTTGTTTTCGCCGTAATGTGAAAACAGAATTCTCTAGTTTACCGTCAAGATAGCGAGACCATTACATGCAATTCCTCCAGCGGACTTTAGTAATATTGTATCTGGGAATAAGAATCGCCGATAAGAATTGCTTTTTAAAGACGCAGCGCTGGTATGTGTTTTTTTTATGTTTTTTTTATTTGAAGGCCCGTTTTTTGACACTGTACCTCCCTGGAAATGTGTTTACTGTATATACCTGCCACTTAACGCGCAGTGAGCTAGGTCCTCTAATTCACATCAATCGAGTACATCCTTTAACAATACTAAACTTGCATCTCTATACCCCGCGCTGTTCGATCTGTCTTGGGGCGCAGAAACGCAATTGCCATCCCTCCCAAAAATTACCAGTCGATCTGTTTGTGTATACCTTTCAATATCTTTGAGAAAACCTGTACGTTCCTCTACCTTTGTAGGAGCATAGATGCACAAAACACGAAACATGAAAGTAGAAATTAAAAAATCATGTCGAAATCTTCTCTCTATCGAGTACGACAGCAGAAGAGGTGGCCAAGATTTATCTGACCAATATATTGCTCCCTTTGATCCACCACAAACTCTGCTCAGCGATTGTGGTCAGGTGTTTCTTATCGCACTATTTCAAGAGCTCCTTACGGCTTGCAACTCCATTCATTCAACCGCCCCTGGATATCATGGCCCTTCTTGATATTATTTCGGCACATTGATACTTTAGACCCATGTTGTTGTAAAAAAAACTATCTCCAAACTCTGGTCTAAAAACATGCTTTTCGTGCAAGGCTCGTCAAATTATGAGGCGCTGGAGAAATGCAGCCTTCTGCGTTAAGTCCTTATTTCGAACTCTTTTTGTTCGCCTTCCGCCCATTGAAAAGCATGCGGTAAGGGCCTTAGAACGCACCTGGTATCGCTGCGCCGCAGCGTTCTTCCGCATCAAAAAGTTCGTCTGCTTTCCTCGTCGTCACCATGGTAACGAACACCGAATGAATGGAAGCACGCACGGTACCGCCGCGTGAAGCCAGCAACAGCTGACGCCATTTTACGAACGCCGTCTGCTAGCCAAAGCCGAACGCGGTGTGTCAGATCAACCGCCTCCGCCGGTGCGCCGCAAGCAAAGACGACGAAGCTGAGACACGCCGACGGCGATCGAGCAAGCAACAACACCGCGGGACGACTGCAACGGCGGCATTTATTCGGATCAAAGGCCGGCTTCGCCGGTGCGCCGATGCTCCACACACTTCTATCACATTTGAATTGTGACAGTCAGGTCTGTTGTGCTCCTAGTTCTGTCCTCCGGCTGCTTAGGCTCGTTGAAGAACTGTGAGGTTGGTCTGCAGCAAAAGTTGTCCCTCGCGAAGGTTTGTTCTCGGTCGTAGAAACATGTTGCGTGTGATGTCTTCGTTCGATCGGTACATCACGCTCACAAAAAGGATGTGGGTACCCTGACGTTTTGCCTTTGTATGACCGTTTCTTGACCTCCGTTGCGTGATCCACTAGAGGGAATGAAGGTAAACACGTTTGAGAGAATTCTCTCTGGTTGGGTAAATAATAAAGAGATAAGATAATCCGCCAACCAAAAATTGAAATAGTAGCGACCCTACGTTTCGAAACCGTTCGTTTCTAGTAGCGACCCTACGTTTCGAAACCGTTCGTTTCTTCTTCAGGGGGATTTCATCCCCCTGAAGAAGAAACGAACGGTTTCGAAACGTAGGGTCGCTACTATCTCAATTTTTGGTTGGCGGATTATCTTATCTCTTTACTAGAGGGAATGTACACCGTTTTCAAAGCGTTCGATGTAATCGTACTGTACTGATTGTCGCCTGTCAAGGCCTACCATGAGATGAGGAGGGAGGTTTTTCACAACTTTGGCTTGAATCGTAGCGCTGGCGTTTCCAATGGCAATCTTGGCTTGTGTTAGGCCAACGGGGTGTCTTGATTCTCCGAACGGGCCTCCGAGAACACTGTCTGGGGCTGGGGTGATCTCAAAGTTGTGGCTTGCAGCGAAGATCTCGCTCATGAGTGTTACGGCTGAGCCTGTGTCCCAGAGCGCTATCGCCTCGATGCTGTTGACGTGCGAAGCCAATAGAATTGTCCAGTTCTTGTCTGCATGATGTGCTGTGATGATGTTGTTCACGCGTTCCGAAGTTGGCTGTTTCGCTTCGCGTCGTCGTGCTGTTGCGGCTTTCTCCTCCTTGGTGCGGGTGTCAGGTTGAGCGCAGTCTGTGGCTCGGTGCCCTCGCGTTTTGCATCGCGCAGATGTGTCCGGTGTCAGCCTTTGTCGATGCTGTCGCGGTCTTCAGTGAAGACAGATGTCGTTGCAAACATGTAGTCTGTCATCGCTTTGTTGCGTTGCGTTTTGCCGTGGATGGGGACGCCGTCGACTGACGCCGTGGAGGTCGGGGAACAGATCCGAGAGTACGTGTTGCTCGCCGTCCCGAGTCGTTGACCTCGTTCAGCCGGTGTCCTCAGTCCGTCGCGTACGGCAGTACGGTCGTAGCTTGTTGCGTTTCTTCGCTGGTGTCGCTGGTGCACGTGTTGACAGCTCACCACCCTTTCGGCGCCGGTCGCCGCATGCGGTGGTGCTTTTCGGCTTGATGTCGACTTGGGCGTCGTTTGAGCGTTCTCGCTGTTATGTCACTCGATGACGTAACCGTCGCGGTGACCTGGTGCGTTGTATCGTGGTGCCGTCATCAGGTCGTCCGTGGGCCGCTCGCACGTATTTCTTTTAGGTAGTCGTCGGTCGCTTCCTACCGAATTTCCGCTGCTTGCCCGTCCGCGTAGTCTTCGTTAGTGAGTCCTCGTCGCCATGTTAGTCGTGGATGAGCTCAAGAATAAGCGATATTAATTGAAACACAAAGATTTAATCCGGATTAAAATGGATTACATTTCGTCGTGACGACATGACGTGCGCGAGTTCTCCCCGCGATGCTCCTCCTCGCCCCTCCACCACTCCACAGATGGCGCTAGGTGTCCGTCGTTGTGGAGCTCTCTCCGCCCTCCACAGATGGCGCTAGGTTTCCGTCGTTGTGGAGCTCGCTCCTCTAACAGTACAAAACGTAAATATCGCAGGAGCCTCCTCGCTAGAAGTTGTTGTGATTATGCCACTCTTCAAAGCATTGTTTTGGCTACTCCAAAAGGTGCTTCAAAGCGGTTTCGGCCAATCACATCACTGCTTTCTGCTGCAGTTATTATCAATATATATTTCCGCGCCGCCCTGCGATGCCGCAATACTCGGCAAATGAGTTTCCCAAGCAGTGAAGTGGTACGTGGAGCAGAACTCGGTGGCCCCAGCACAACGAAACTTTCGCACTGCATTTCATAAACGCCCGCCTTCACGCGCGACAATTTTGACTTTGGCGGATCGTTTTGCGAGTGGAGAAGACTTTAAAAAGAAGAATCTATTCAGTGAACGTCAGAGCTCATTGAAGCGGTGCTTGCTGTCTTCGAGGGTGACCGGAAATTGTCAACATAACGAGCAGCCAGGTTGCTCGAAATTTCGAGAAAAAAAAAAGCGTGCGACGGATTCTGCGTAAAAATAATTTTCGCCCGTATAGGACACAAGTCGTTCAAACCCTGCACGACAGCGACAACGTCCGACGTTTAAAAGTTTGCAAGGCGGAGTTGCCGCGAATTAAGAGCAACCCTGGGCACCTGCAGTTTCTTTTATTTAGTGACGAAGCAAACTTTCAACTTGATGGACGTGTGAACCACCAGAACAGCAGGATATGTGCTCGCGATAGCCCTCATGCCGTGGACAAACGGCATGTCTATTTACCGAAGGTGACAGTGTGGAGTGGGATTTGGCTTGAACGCATAGTGGGCCCTTTTTTTTTCGATGGCACCGTTAACGCAGATGCCTACTTGGACATGCTGAAAACGGAAATGCTCCCAGAGCTTGAAAGGTACCAAATGACAAAGGAAAACTGTATATTCATGCAGGATGGGGCGGCTTCCCATTACGGAAAGAGTGTGAGGGCACGGCTCAATAACACGTTCCCTCGGCAGTGGATGGGTCGGGGATTAGACTATATGGACTGGCTTCCACGACTTAAATATGTGCGACTTTTTCGTATGGGGATTTATAAAAGGTCTGCAAGAAGAGGATCCGCAGCATGGAAGAGCTCAAAGAAAAAAATTGAGGGTGGGTTTCTCGAGATCGACATTGGGATGCGCGAAAGGGCTTTCCTGGTGGACGAAGCTCGGCTTTGCGTGTCTAGTGAACGGCGGGCACATCGAAACGGCCGAACCCTAGTCGTTTAAAGGGCCGCTGCAGCATCAACATTATTTCAAATCGCCGTGAGAGAAGAGGCGTATCAGACGATGTATTTTTCAAGAGTAAACAATTGAACGAACGCACAACTCTCGTGCTGATTGCGGCACGTGGAGAGCAATGTAGAGGCTGCTGATAGAGGTGTACCAATGGGAAACCAGCAAAATAACGACTAGCTCTCTCCAATACCAGCCATTTTATCATTGGCCCGCCGAAAGTACTCTAGCGCCTTAAATATTGCTCCAATTAATATGATTTCTTTTTTTTTTATCAATATGTCTTGCGCCATGTGTGTTAATTATGCCCAAGCTGCATGAAAAAAGATATTACTTTATGAGTTACAGCGGCCCTGTAAAAATCAAAATGAAATGATAACTCAAAATGAACTTGTCTGCAACGGTAGCAGCACCACATGCTATTCCAGGTTGTTAATAAATGATCTCGTCAAATCATGGTGTCTTCTTGCTTGCCTGACGATCTCTCAAAACTTCACTTGAAACAGGTAATTTCAACAATCGTTGATATATTTCGTTAAAATCACTTTTCATCGCCATTATCTTGCCTGACGCCAGCCGATAGCCGATCGAAAAAGTCGTGGTATCGGATTTTTTTATTTTCTTCTGTTCGCAGCTATAGTAAATGCGTTCATCCAAGTCAAGGGAACGACCGAAATGGGCTGCTGTGGTTTCGACTTGTGCTTGGCCGTCAACTGATCAACGGCCGAACCTTCAAGGGCTCGGACAACAAGAAGCCGTATGCATCAACAACAAAGGCTCTAAGAGTGGCCAGAAAATAATCAGAGTGAGCGACGAGGTGAGGTTTTCGGGGAAGCAGCACTACCCCGAGAGGGTGACGAAGAGGCGCCGGTGCCTTTGGTGTTCAACGGAAAAAAGAGAAGTTCGCACAAGGTTGTTTTGTGTCGCCTGCGATGTGCCGCTGTGTGCGACATGCATTGTACCGTTTCATGCAGGGCCTGCTAATAAATAACTCAGGGTTGGAACCATAAAAGGTCATTGGGACAAATATGTCCCACTTTTTGGAATATGTGTTACTGCCAACGGGACACATATGTCCCACTTTTTAGAAATAAACCACATGTTCTAAATACTAAATACTCGCTAAATACTGCTTAAAATCACTCCCTAACGTTAATAATTGAATAAACTTGACGTCGTTTTTTTTTTTCTTTCTATGCAATAAAAGTCGCAAAAAACAATTTGAGAAATATGAACATCGTTCATCCCTTCAACTCGGAGCCAGAACAAGCAGCCCCGTGGCCTTGTGCCTATCCTATGCTGCCAACGTTAAACATATATCCACGCGCTGGGGTCGTCAAAGTAGAAAACACGTGTTGAGCTCCAGTCACTGTTAGAGCTCGGCTATTTTCATCACCTCTGTGGTTGTACAATGTACTGTGGTTGAGCACGAGCGACTGCCCGACTGTCCGCGGAGGCATTAATTGTTACGAGCCGAAGCCGAGTGCTCACAGTTCTCGCCTCCAATCCATTAGCCCCGCTTGACTGTAGTCAGGTGGGTGGCTCCGATCCCAGAATTACGTCATCTAGCTTTACGAAGGCGAGACTGAAAGAAATTGTTCACTTTTATCCTCGCAATCTCATCGCGTCCAAGAACCTTCTGAATCACTGGCGGTTTGTGAGAGTGTATTTTGGCCAGACGAGGAGCAGTGTGCCTGTGAAACGTTATGAACATTCCAATTCAATTTCGTTTGATGAACCCTTTAAGTTGTGAATGCAGCCAAAGCTACAAGCGCGAGCTCGCCCGCGCTCCTGGCTTTGAGACTTGCACTTTCTAGATCGAGGGCTCGTTCTGTGGTAGAATGCTTCAAAGCAGCGACCTCGAGCTTTCGTGCTTGTGGCATTCGCTGCATTCTCAGTTTAAGCCAGCGGTCTCCTTGTTGCAACATATAATACCGGTGGCGGCTGTGCTAAAGTAGCTGTGCATGCTACGCTCCCGTTTGGGGTACAAGTGTCGCGTCTGTGCACGTGCCACGTGTTTCGTTCTTTTTGCAAATAAATCGACAGTTCATTCCCTGTATTTTATTCCAGAATGTGAAATGCATATGTCGAAATTTAACACGCAATTAAAAAGCAAAAAAAGGCAAGTTTTGATGTTTTCGAAGACTTGCCTTTACGCATTCCAAGTTTCTAGATATATAATGAATCCAAATCACGTTCTGATTTTCGTTAATGATTAGATAAAGGACTCGCCATTTTTGTACTTACGTTTTTTTCTTAATTAGTACACTCACATTTTTTTATAGTTATTCAGAAAGTGCCTCTTTCATACGACTTTGAAGTGTCGTAACTCAGTTTTATCATAGCGCAGCAACATTTGGGCGCACGCTTTTGGTCAATATAAATGCCCAGCATGAAGAGAAAACAAAACAAAACAAAAACATTAGAAGTGCAATGCCTGCAGATTCTTCGTAAACGTTACTTGAATATGATAAAATTTAAAAGAATTTCCTTCAAGCGTTTTTGGTTTTCTCAGATGGCATTCTACATCTGATCTAATTTTTTTTTTTAATTATGCTAGATGAAATAGGCTGGTTTTTTGTAGGACTGGGTTTGATTGAATACATATTCAGATTTGTTCAGAATGAGTTTAAATCATAAGACTATTTTTAAGTTCGACTCTGTACGCAAGAATTATATTTCAAATGAAAGGACAGCTATTTCAAAAACGACTCTTTAATTACAGATTTTCTCGTTTTCATTAAAATCGCTCACAATCAATGTAATTTTTAAAGGGTACTAATTGTCCTAAATATCAAAACGGACTTATGTTGTAGCAGACGACGCGCACTTACGTCATCTTTTGAAAGGTGGCGCTGAAATTTGAGGTTGAGAAGATTAGGAAAAGGGACGCTGATTCTGCCACTGACGCAGATAATTCTTAAATAATTCCTCGCTCTTCTTCCTCGTTCTTGCAGTGAATCACAGTTACTCTCGCGAGGAAAAAGATTGAACGGACATGTGTCATTAAAGAA